GACTGCCCGGTCACTGCCGTTGTTGTTGACCTCACAGTGCAGCGGCTCGGTGGAGATGACCCACGTTGAAGGACGCCACCGCTTAAGTGAGTACGGAGTTTTCACACGTTTCTTGATCTTTTCTCCTGAGCCTGATTTGCCATCCTGTGAGGAGTCACCTACTGAAGAGACAAAACAAAAAAAAACAAGAAAAAAACAAACCCAAACCAAACAAAAAGTAAAAACAGAGTAGAAAATAGTATTACAAGCGGGATAAGGTTAGACTGGAGAGTCCAGGGTGGTTACTCATGCAAAACTGAAGAAAAGAACAAAATCTTATCACGTAAAAGCAACTGTGTGGCAGAGGCACAACAGGTGTATCAACTACAGTAGCTGCCACTAAAACAAGGGGTCAGATTCTGTTCTCTGTCAGAAATTACTTCAGTGAAGTAATTTGTGTTACCTTGAATGCACATTGGCATCAAACAGCAGAATCAGCATTTGACATTTGAGGGGCTTTTGCAATCATAGTATCTTATATTACCTGTAATGGGAGGTACAAAAAAATGTCGCTACTACAGGACGGCAAAGGCCAAACTTTTAATAGCATAATTAAATCATAGGTCCTCTAATCCTACTTCAGCTATCGAAGCATTTCACTTGAAGACAAAATGGTCCATTCTCTGTTAAGATCCTGAGTCAGGATTTGGGATGTCAGGTTGCAAAACCAACTTTAATCATGGTAAAATTTCAGCAATCGAAATCTGATTGTTAAAAAACCTGTCACTTTATATAACCTTCAACCCCTTTCTTTTAACTTCCCCTTCAAAGAAAGTTACTGCAATAATCTTTTTTCTTTACCTCATTAAGATTTCGACTCAAGTCAACTCGCGTTAAGACAAAAATTAAGGTTTCGTACTTAAAAGGAAGGCTTAAACATTCCCCTGCTGAATATTCAACTACATTTCTTGAAAGATCTGTTCTGGTTTGTTTCTAAACCTTTTCTTTCCAAACATGTCTGGCATCCCAGATTATTTCACTAGTATAGTGTCTGTCTAAGCAGTCAGAGGTTTGCAAGCGCCTTTCAAAGAGTACAGTGCATTCTGGAATTATATTCTCTCAAAAATGCACAATAGCAGGCCTTTCCAACAGCTCCAACAGGCCCAAAGTCAGACTCTGAGGATGTACCTAATTTAACTATAACTACATGATTACATTCTTACTGTAAAAAGGAGAGCCCCATTGTAACCTCTTATAAATTTGGCCATAAAACTCTTAAGGCCGTTATTCTGAAGGAGTCTATTAAAATCAATTCCTTCTCTAACTACTTTGATTAAATATGTACGTGGTAAACTGATAAAGGATTTCTGTAACTGTTGGAGCTCAGATAACAAAGTAGAGAATGCTTGATCCTTCATCTAGGCTGGGCTAATACAGTAAAATGGGTTGCTTTAAAAGTAATGAAGCATGTAAGTAGTAGTGATAATAAATTATTTTAATCAGTGCATCTTAGAGCCAGCTACTCTTAAGAGAATAAGGAAAAGTAATGACAAGAAGGTATAATGTGCCCCTGAAGGAAGAAATAGGAAGCTTTTTCAATATGCTTTGCAGCTGCCAAGGTAGGTGCCTTGCAAGGAATAATGAAAGTTAGAAATTACTCCCTTCCTTGAGTCAGAGTAGACAGGTTATAAAGGGACACATTTATTCCATGTATGTGGAAGGAAGATAGTGACCTAACATATGCTGGAGTTGATGGAGATAGCACTTTATCAAGAAGATTGAAATTGTGCTGATAGAAATTAAATTTATATGGGATTTATTAAGTATGTGTTGAGGAGGGACAGGAGAGACAGAATTATTTTCTATTCAAGCAGATATATGTAGTTATTTAGTAAAAAAGTGTCAGGGAAACTGTTCAAGTCCTGCAGGCACTTACACTGCATACTACTGCTATCCAAACTACTTGTGGCTGATAGATCCAGCGAATTAGGCCTCTGTGCTCTTCTAGCCTGGGTCTGCCCAGGATTTCTCACTACATTCTGGATACTGACTGCAGCTGTGTCTTGCACTGGACACGGATTACTGTTGTTGTTATTGGCATTTGTTCGGCTGTTATCCAGTGGTCGCTCTCTCCTGTCTACGAGGCGGTCCAGAACACCTTCATCATGGCCAACTTGCTGCTCCCGCCTCAGCAAAGGTTCATGTTCATCAGGGCTTGAATTAATATTCAGCCGACTATCCTCTCCACTGAACTGGTTCTGAAGCATTTCCTGGGCCCTCTGCGCTACCGAACTGGTTGTCTGGCCAGATGGCACGGTGCCATTGGCGTATTGGGTTGTGCCAGCGTGAGAGTTTATGCTGTGGCTTCTCCCAGCCACTCCGTTCATGGTAACTGTCACAACATGAGGTTCTGCAGCATTGATAGTGTTCATCTTGGCAACACCTGTTTCCACTTGCTTCAAGTTTGATTTGTGCTTGCCACCAAATTTTAACCGTGGCTCCTTTGTTGAATTTTTGGTGTTTAGGGGGAGGCTAGTAGGCCTCTTCGGAAGGTTCTGTTGCTTGGGTAGAGGATAGACCTGAGCAGATGGGACATCTGGAATCAAACATGCTTGACCATTGCCAGCTTGTGTGAAGTCCTGTTGTCCTGTCACCTCTACTGCGAGTTTTATCAGCGGATAAAGCAAGCTGGAACTAGTGCTGCTGAGTGGATCTGGCCCACTAAACTGCTTAAGTGAATGTTCCATCAGATTCTCATCAGAGCTTTCTTTCAGGTTCTTATCCACTTCTTTTGGATCCAATTTATTTGTCTCTAAGTCCTCCTCTGTTAGCTGCAGACAAACAGGGGTGGGCCCGCCTGGCTGCATGACATTTGTAGTATGTAAGTTTGTTTCGTCCGAATAAGGCATTTCGGATATGGTGGTCATGCCAGTGCTAGGAGTGAGGCCAGCTGTATTGGTGGTGGTAGTATTGGTGGACAAACTGGTGACACTTGTCTCAGGACTAGGGATGCGAGCTTGCGCTTGTTGCCGCTCATAGTTAATGGAGTTTCTATTCTTTTCCCCTGAAGTCAATGGTGTAGTGGACATTGAATGTTCAGAAGAAATGTTCTTCACTATGCTGTCAGTGTGGTGGATTGAATCTTCAATGTAGGAAGAGGAAGAGTAATCTGGATATGGCCTTATCTTTGATACACGCCTATGATGCGACAGATTCCTTTAAGAAAAAACAAGTGATATTAAGATCATATATGTAAAAGTCACCTCATATTATAAAGCCTCTCATTTAAGAGCTGAATGTCTTTCTGTTTCTTTTCATGCATAAACTAAGGACAGATACAGTACAAACTGAGCTCTTTCGGTAAGTTCCTTAAAAAATCCTGGGTAGCAGAGAATTGGTTTTACTAGGACAGCTATTTTGTCGTGGATGCTATTTATACAACTAGGTTGGATAACAGTAATTTTCTTCTATTTGTCCAATATGCTGTTTGTACAGTTCACTGCTAAGATACTGCTCTAGTTGCAGAGAAGTGATGCTGAAGGAGGGCAACAAGAACTCAACACACAAGAGTTGGAGAAAGTGATGCTAGGAAAAAGTCACAAGGTCCTAAACCATGAAAAATCTATTATTTTAACAATTTAGGTATTTTATGATTTGAGCGCAGTTTTTTTCAAGACAATAAACACTGCCATATACAGCAACGTTACTCTTCTCTCAAATCCAGACCTCTAGCGTATACTATTAAGCACTGTATGTCAGTTCTGCAAATTCTCACTCTCTCTGGATCATATATAAGCGGAGAACATGCAGGACTTCTCTCCTTGCAGTCAGAATAATGATGACTTAAACGATGGTCCTGCGGTTCTTTAACTGAAAAGCTACAGGTTTGAGACTTGGTGATTTCCTGAACGCCTGTTCCCTGCAAACTCACAGTTTTTAGCAGAACACTTTAAACAGAAGTTTTATGTATCATTTAGCAAGAGTCCTTCAAGACAATTCATAGTCACTTCTTATCCTTGCAAGCCTGTTCAGACAGTTTGCCTAAGTTCAGTTTAAAAGGCCCCTCTATGGTTGATTACATAAAAGGTGCCTGAATTCTGGGGACACATAGATCCTAAGAACACAAGCAATCAGGATCATGTCATACAGTACTCCGATGCAGACCAGCTCACGTAACACACAAGCACTTCACGGGTACAGAAATGTTAAGCTAACAGCGTGCTCTTAGCTTCCTTCCTGGAGTGAGCTGAGCATTGCATGAGGCATTTGCTGCTGACTAAAACCAAATGTTTTCTCTTCTTACCGCTCATTTTGCATGGCAGTTGACATAGGGTTGACCGTTGGACTAACTGATTTATTTCTCTCCCAGATCATCATGAGTTCTGCCATCCTCTCCTCAGCACACTGCGCTGTCAGCCGAGCTTCAGCATCTTGATCCCAACAGTCTTCAATTGTTTCCTTAAGTGACCTCACAGCCTGCCAGGAGACAAACAAAAGCCCTTTATCTTAAATTATTTTCCCTTTATATTGTGATTCTAATTTACTGGTTTATGACATCATTCTGTATGCACAAAAATAATCACAAGCTGGTGAGAAGCAGAAAATATACCACTTCATTGAAAGCTACTTTACCCCAATACAGCAATATGCAGGACTAATGTTATCATACCTCACACTCCCCCCAACTGGGAAGACAGTTACTTAGGAAAAGCTCCATTCACCAATGCCCATACAACCTTCAGCCAGCCCTCTCTGATGTATGCATGCTCAGCTCACTCTCCCTGCCTTATGAAAGCTGCGTACTAAGGCTCGATGATAATCTGGAAATGCTGCCATTGTTATCCTCACAATTCAGCTAATGGTCCCTGCCTTGCTTTCCTGCACTGTATGCAAATAACACAGCTTTGCTCATTTCATCATGTTTTCTTCCTCTGTTCACTACTGTAACATCCAAATGCCTCATAAATATCAGTGAATTTGTCTGTGCTAAGGAGGAAATTATCGTTGCTCTTGTTTTACAGATGGAGAAACAGTCACACTTCCCTGGGATCACACTGTGGGGTGAGTGGTGCAGCCAGGATTAGAGCTCAAGACCTCCAAAACGTGCTGCCATATGGTCAGAGATCTGGAGAGGAGACAACTGAAACGATGAGCACTGAACACTTCTGCTTCCACTGCGTCTGGAGTACAAAAACCAGGCAGCCATTTACTGGCTCCTGCTGCCAATCGATGGCCCATGGATAGGACATGGTCTGCCAGAACATCTCACATCTACAGCCCAGCTTTAACCTCTCCAGCAGCAATTGATGTGCACAGTCCCAGCTGGGCGCTAAGGCACTCGGTGGGCCCTGCTGACTGCCTCTGTGCCAGAACTGCCTTGTTCACTTCTGGCAGTGGAAGCCAGGACTAGCTCTGCACACCAGGCAAGAGCTCCTCACCCACAGAGTGGGCTCCTGGCACCGCTCGCAGCTGGCAAGTCACTGCTGCTCAGTGCTGCAGCTACGGCTGCACAGGTGGGGGTCAGCGCCCACACAAGCAAACCTTTCATCTCCCTTCCCACAGTAGATGGAAGAGGGGCTAAGCAACTACACCCCTCTTAAGCTGAGGGATGTAAGTCTAAAAGCACCCTCAGGGACAATGACAGGATAGTATATTGGATCCATTTTCTCTCCCAGAATGAAAAGCCTTCATTTGGCTTCACTGGGACTTGATTTAGTCGTAATTTGGATGCATCTAAGCCAGCAGACACCCTAATCTCCTGGTTTGTCCCTCTCCCCTACAGGCTTCACCAGCAGTAAGTTTAACGAGTGTTTAATACTGTCTCTCTTCCAGCAGATCCTTTCCTTTTGATGTTTTAAGGATCATGAAAGCACGCAGTGATGACTGTATAGATGGTTAACAAAACTGAATTTCTAGGGCTTCACATTTACCACAGTAACGTGTTTTCTATTAATTTCAGGTTCAAAGAGATCTATACTAAAATGCACTATTTAGAACTTCTAGCACTCACAAAAAAAAAAATAAAAGGGACAGGAAATCTGCATTACTCTGTTATTCTTTTAATATCCTTCAGTCCTGACCTTTGAAGTCCAGCTTGGGCTCTGCTTTGGCTTTGGCAAATGAAACAAGAATGCTGCTCACATCTCAACTCAGTTTATAGCCCTTGAATTATTTTATGCACATCATCTGCACACATTGTTGATTTATACTGTGAAAAACAATACTGCTAATCAAGGTCTGTATCACAACACATATGTTCAAGAAGCAGACTAAGATTGCATAGGTAAGCATAGATTTAAGACAGTCAAAATATGTGGAATCCTAATTATGTGATCTAAAAAATACAACATTGCTTTTTATTTGTAGTTCTCAAATGAGCACAACAAATACATTTCTCTGATAGATGAATTTGCATGAGAGTGTTATAACCCAATATGTCAGCATAGCTTTAAATAACGGACAAAATTCTTTTATTCTATGCATTAGATACAGGAAGTTAGGACTTGGCTCCAGGATGAGGTTATCTGGAGCTTCTTTTTCTACAATATCTCCCTTAGAGTGTCCATTCAGATGTTATCCTGGACTGGAATAGGGTGGACTAGGTTGGTTGATATCCATGAGAGAACTACAGATTGTTTATTTATTCTTCTCTTCAAGAAATGGTGTAGCTCCAGCCTTAGAGCGGGACTTATTATCATCATCATTATTATTATTTTGAATTTTTGTAAAGAAATTAGTGACAAGACAATGGGTTAGGTAGTTTAAATATGGGGATCATTACTGGCTCAGTATCTAATAATGCTGTTGTCTATGAGCTTGCTACAATGTAATTAACATTTGAAATGGTACTCTGCAAAACAAAACAAACCTTCTTGAACCGTTTGAGTTATAACTGTCTTCTAAAACAGCTGTCAAGCTTGGTTCTCCCAACCCTGCATCTGTGAACATGGCTATAGTTAAATCAGTTGCTGCTTCATTTCCTATACAGTTTGGGCGTGGATTTCTTTTCTCTTCCCCGCCCGCCCCAAAGACTGGCTGGCCAAAACTGTCTAATAAAAGAACCTCCCTGTGAAGCTTTCAACTCAGTTACAACATGTTTTACAACGGTGTTAATACTGGAGGCTAGGCTCCTCTCTGAAAATGGTTTCATACATATTTACAAGTACCAGCATAGATAAGGCCTTAGGCTCCCCATTATCTGCACAGTAGCTACATACTTATCAACTAGCAGAGCCTCTGAAGATTGAAGGGCATAATTTCAGTAAGGGAATAAGAAGAAGTCTCTTTTTAAGTATGAGTCAAATATATCATTTTCATACTCGCAATCAAGCTATTTTAGTTTAAACAATTTACCATGTATCATGTGGAACCCCGTAACTGTTTGCATTTTACTTAGTAATAAAAGACAAACCACTCCCCCTAAGCTAAGGGGATTTGCATTACCTCACCCCTTTGCTGCAGATGAAGCAAGCACACAGACTCTTACCAGAGTTCAGCTCACTTGCCATAACTTGTTGGCCTGCAGCAGCAAGGAAAACTTTAAGCCATAGCTATACTAATTCAAAACAACAAACAACATTACTATGTTTATAGTCTTGAAAATAAAAATTGCAGATCAAACGAAGTCATATAAAATTTCTAATGTAGTTATAATGAAATGATTGCTAGAAGCTGTAGCCTCTGCAAATTCTGAGGACTATACAATTTCAGAAAAAGTTTATTACAATGTTTATAGATTTTAGGTTTGGAAGAGTACATTTAAATTTCTGCCAACTATTTTAGGGTGTTATTAACTTCTAAGATGTCAAAAGGCAGAAAATGCCTTTATATTTCTCATCCAGCATACAGAGAACATATGGGCACTCCATGCACAATACTACAGACAATGCTTAACAATATAACGAGTTGCGTTCTGTGTATCACACTTCAGCATCTGATAATAATCATAGTATTTTTCCTTAAAAGAAATCTAGCTTTCATGTCAATGGCTTTTTAAAAACTGAATTCAATATTTAAGAAGTCCAGACAGAAGCAGTTCCCAATCCTTAAATACTAACAAAAATTTTAAAAAATAACATATTCAAAAATTGCATTAAGAAGTGAGTGCACCCTATAGCTGATTAAATGATTGTTTCTTTGAAAATATTCTATCTCACCAGGCTGTTCTCCTTCCACGCTTCTGGGAATTTTGGTCTTTGCTTCTCTCTAGACACCAAGACTTGCATATCTTCAAAAGTGGGATGGTTTCCGACTTCTGTCTGGAAAGCCATCTGGTACTCTGGCACAGATTCCCCTGTTAGCAAAAGAAAGAAAGAAAAAAAGCACAAATTAAGAAGCAGAGCAAGGGCCTTCAGATGATAAAAGGTAGTATCAAAGTTGCTGTCTATCGAGATGTTCTCCCCTTTCCCCCAAAGTCTAACTTCATAAAAAAAGCTGAATTAACTGAAAATTAATTGTGTTGTTTGGCAACCTCTCAAAGGATAGCATCTTCAAACTTTGCCGGCTGAGTGGCACATTCAGAATGTCTGAGGATGACATCTAATTTCTGTGAAACATTGCTGGCTGAATATATTTACGTACTTCATTTGGGAGGAAACCCAGCAAGATTACAAGTCTCTGCACATGAAGCACAGCTGTTTGAGTACGGAGAGAATGCTGCCCATCTGATTAACTCTATATGCTATATCTTGCAAAGATGGTGGTTGTAACACAATCTCACATGTTAAATTTTAAAAGTCTACTTCCTCTTGTTTTATGTTACAGGTATGAAGGATTTCCCCAAATTTTCAATGTCACTAGCATAAATAAAAGTACGACTGACTAAAGGCTACGTTAAATCACAGCACTTTCCCATCCATTCTTTCATGAGGAAAGTCTGAAAGACACTTCAGGCACTTTTATCAGTTTTAAGAATTGAAAGTACTGCCTTTGCCATCAGTCCAACTCTCAATGTTTGTTAACTTTAGATAATAATAATATTCAAATTGCACTTACTATGAGGCCTGCAAACTGCTTAACCAGGTAATTTCAAGTCAGCATGAACCATGCTTCACACTGTAACACACTATACTGACAACAATAATCTTGAACACTAGATGGCACCGACTTAATGGCAAAAACAATTAAGAAAATTATTTCCCTTCTTCACTTTAAAAAGCTATAGCTAGGGAGTAGCTTTGGTTGTTGGTACCGCTATCTACTATTACGTTTTTTCCAGCTTTTTAGTTACCTGGGAAGAGGTCTGTACATCTCATAAATATCTCCCAGTAGATAAGGCCTAGCGCATACATATCCACTTGTTTCAAGGCAGATTCACAGTCCCTCAAGTTCACTGCTCCTTCAAGCACTTCTGGGGCCATATAGCGGATTGTACCAACCTGGAAAAACATAAAATCAAAGCTTCAAATCAGGAAGAAATTTTCAAATTAAATTTATTATGGAGACTTTTTTTTTTTTAATACTCTACTGTGATATTTTCTACAGTTAAGGAGAATTCAATTCTCCTCTAATCAATGTCCTCAGCTTCTACACTCTTATCAGGAGCCTAGTCACAAAGAAACCCTTCCCCTACTCTGTCACTTCTTCGTATGTACCAAAACAAAATAATTTTGTTATTATTATAAGAACTCAATGTTCTCATATGTAACACGATATAGCAGAAATGCTTCTTTTTCCTGAAACTACTCTGTTAAACACCAAGGTATAGTGGATATATATCACAGTATATATTTATCATAGTGGAAGAGGATGTTGCTGAACAAGGAACTTGTTCTCTTTATTCCTGGATTGTCAGCAAGGCTCGCCCCTACATCTTCCATGGTCAAAGGTTATTAATAGCCTTGGAAGATATCTATTAATTTCCACTAAAAAATATGTTAGATCCGAGCAATCACTCATCAGTACTTGTAGGACAGTATTTTGTCACAGGACTATTCCATATCCCTGCATTTTAAACAGTGGTTTCCCTGTTTGTTTGATCAGTAAGGGGAGATCTTAAAAGAGGACCTGTGCAGTAGGTATTATTAATGTAGCACTTGCTTTCTAAGGGAAGGTGATTAGCACTGCGAAATACATTCCTTGAATGAAATGTAAGAGTTTTCTGTAAAAAGCACAAAGATGATAAATATACCGAACCATTAAGGACTTTCGCTCTGTTTAAAATAGTCTCACTGTATTTCAGTAGCCTATATTCAGGTGTCAGTGTATTTATGCTTACAGAAAAAGAAAATAACAACAAAAACCCCACTCTATGAATCACAGCATCATAAAAAAGAAAGCTTAAGAAATCAGTTTCTTCTTTCTGCCCAGAATTCATTCTAACCCACTCCTAGCAGATGTTTTCCCAATCTGTTGCTTAAATTCATAAAATTATGCAAATTCTATATAGCCTTCCCCAGCAGTCCATTCCCGACCTTTGCTGCCTTATAAAAGGTTTCTTCATAACTAACCTAAATTTTCCTTCCTACAACATAATCCCATTACCTCCTGTCCTTTCTCTTTGTAGCAACTGTTTACATATTTGAAGACCTGTCTCTGTCTTTACTTCTCTAAACAATCCTCTTGCTTTCATCTTTTCCCCTAAGGTTCTCTTTCAAGCATCCCCTGTTATGTTGTCCCTGTTCTTTCTCAGTTGGTCCATGTCTTTCTACATTCACTTACTCTCCAGATGTATCCATTTAAAGTCCAGAAAATTGCAGATGACACACAGAGAAATAGTTATAGAATATAGAGTGTGGTGTGTCATAATTTTGGAAAAACTAACATCAAAACCACCAAAGAATGTTTGGTCTTCAGTTAATACTTGCAGTACAAGACTGAAGGGACCTGTACCACAACATCACAAACAACATGGCAACCAAACCTACCCTGCATCTTCTCGTACCTCACACAGAAAAATTCAGTCTCCAGGGCTGCCAATCTATCACCTTTCAAAATGCTAGGTTTGTTTTTAACTGTTTAGAGATTAAACCCAGTTTCTTCCTATGAAGGTTTCAGCCACTTCTCACCCATATTGCAGCAATTTCCCCTTTGAGGAATTGTACCACCTTAACATTCACTGTGTAACAACAGAAACAACTATTTCTCAGTGTTACTTCCATACTAATTTGTCTTCCTTTACACTGGTTTATCTTCATTTGTACTTACCTCACTAATGGCTGCATTATCTTCCTCACCTGGGCGCACCAGTCTGTTTCCAGTTAACTTCATGGAGAGTCCAAAATCGCTAATTACACATGTTCCATCATTCTTTACCAGTACATTGCGGCTGTTCAAGTCACGATGGGATATTGCAGGTTTGTAATGGTCTATTTGGACATACGGAAGTACTTGTTACTATTTGAGCAGTTCTACTGTTTGGCAAAATGAGAGAACCTCATTATGTCTGCTCAGCTATTAGAAAATCAACTTATCTTTCAGAAAGCTAACATTTTTGCTTCTTTATAACGAGCTCCACAGCGTGCTATCTATAGAAAAGTGACTGGCATTCAGAGTTTCACTGTATCTATACAATATATTAGGCTACTGCTATATAGTTTTAGTGTTTGCTAATAAGATTCTTTCCAAGGGATATTTCAGCATGATTTTAGCAGGGGAGACAGGTGTACTTAGGCACAGACCTGGTGCCACAGCCCTGACAGCCATTCCAAATGCTCTCTCTTATATCCACACTCGTGTCAAATACAGCACCAACTATTTATGTTATGATTGGAATTGGCACCTATTCCGAAGATATGTAGACAATATTATTCCAGAAAGTCTGAACATATTCAGCCTGCAAGGGATCTGATCTTTTTGAAAGCATAATCCCAGTTTATATGCAATTTATTTTGCTAGTAAAGCAGCCAGCACTATAGAACCGGTTTGACTGTGGAATTTATTCTAATCCATGAGTTCCTTCCTAGCATTCACAGATCAGCCTATGGCTGTCTGTTCTTTCTGATGAAAGGTTTACACATTTTCTAGCTGCTAATGGACACACCTGTCTGTACACTGTGAAATGATGAAGTTAAGATGATAGCTACAGTTTCAATGGCACATAGGAATACTGATTTAGGTATTTTCAGCCTTGCACTTTTAACAGCATCTTCAGTTGTCATTCTTTGCTAGATTTGATGCCTAACATTTGAGATATATAGTTCAGAATTTTAATCCAAACATTAGCACCTTAATGTAGAATTAATGATACCATCCTTTTATTTACTGCCAAAAAGCTAACGCTTCAGTGCCAGGCCATATTCTGCAGCCTGATACATCACAGATCTCAGAATACCTGCTTTATAAACATGATACTTCAGCTGCTGAAATGCTGGCTGAAGCACACAAGCAGAGATATAAAGATATAAATCAGTATGTTGTCACATCCAGTGCTCTCATAAAACACTAGAAGTCCAGCAGTATTGTTTGTATACAGCGAAGACTAGGCCCACACCCTTAGACAAAAATCAAGAGACACAATAAATAAAACTACAGTGGAGTTGGAAGATTTAATTATTTCACTTTGTGTATACAGCTCACACACAAACTAAAAATTGCTTTGGTGATTTGTGTCTGAACTGCAAAAACAAAGAGAACACCCCGTCTGTTTGCACTCTGCTAGACAGACAACCAGTGCTTCAGGTCTTCAGTAATCTGTTGCCATGATACAGCAGCTCTGCACAACTCTGCCTCCTCCTCTCGCCTTTCTCTGGGGCTCTGCTGGCTCTTACTCCATGTTTTCATACAAGCACCACAGACGCAGCCCACAACATGGGATTGTTCGGAAGGAAAAAACGTATCAGAAGTTCTGAGTAATCTCTATTTGCATTTGTCATTTGCTACTCACCGTACTGTCACAGAGAAAAAAGTAAGGCAGGAATCTACTACCTGTTAATGAGAGTATCTTGAACAACATCCTGGCATCCCTTTCTGGCCTTACCTCCTCGAGGTAGCTCTGTGTGCAGGTACGCCAAGCCCCTAGTTATAGAGTGTGCCAAACGACAAGAGCTCACCCAGTCACTTGTGTGGAGACTCAAATATTTGCACAAAGAACCCTAAAAAAAATAAATAAATACTGGATTAAAACCATCGTCCAGTTGAACAACTCAAAATCCTTAGGAGAGTCAGCTGCAGTCGTTGCTCCTGAAAGGTGTACTCCTGCAACTGCTTCTGTGTTTACCCGGATGTTCCAAAACACAAGATTGGACCAAAGTTTCATTAATTTCTAGTGCTGCCATTTGGTTTATCTAAAGAAGCAG